CAAAACCAATCACTGGTCGTTCAGACGCGGTGACCACATTATAGAAACACAAACGACTGATCCATTTCCATAATCATAAGAAATCTCAGCGGAGTCCATTGTAGGCGAGCGCCATCTCTAGCAGTACAGCCTGGGGACTAGTAGCAGGATAGTGGATAGTAGTTGCAGGATAGGCTCTGGACGCCCCAAATCCGGGTTCGATTCCACCTAATGCCTGACGCCCATTCGCCGTGTACCAAATTTGGCTGACATATTGCTTACAACTCCGAAAACCATACTTCCTTGGTATTATCACGTAACCAGCATGCTGACATTACTAAAACAATCAAAACGTGATCAAAGAGTTCGCGGGAGTCTGTGCCAAACAGTGATCGTTGTAGAATAGTGGCCATGAATGCACGAGACACAATCGGACTCTGTGCATTGATCATGCCTTCTCACATTAGTGCACATCGCAGCATGAGGATATGTGGCACTAAGAGATGTTGGACCAAACGACTCGGACCTTTCAGCGACGGACGTTGTTCGTGAACACATGATCACTCGACGTTTCTCCACATAGCATGACGAGTATCATCAAACGTATTATTCAACCTTGCCATTTTTCTCCATTAGCCACTGAAAATATACTACATTTTTATTTGATTTCATGTATTTATATCAGTGTTTGTATGAGTGTTTGAATCTTAAACCTTTTATCTTGGGTTTATTTTTCGTCAAGAGATTTATACGCAATTGGTCATTATTGTGACAGGCTATTTGGGCGATGTGGATTTGACTTCATGCAATGAATGTATGAGAATCTATCTATCAATATACCCACTCTCGCTTCTCCCTGTAAAGTCCACCCCTGACACTGCCATATTGAGCATCTGTACATATGTATACTTATGGTTTTGTGGCCTTACACGTTACACCACCGGTCGCAGCGAAGCTGAAAACCCAGTCTAAAGGTTACAAGTTGTACTATCGTTATGACAGTTTCAAATTGTTAATGAATGCATGATTATATTTTGATGTTAGTTTCATACTACTCAAATAGAATCCAACGATTTTTTCTAATACTATTAATTTAGTAATTTGAAATATTCGGTGTGCTTTAACTGGCATGACAGATTAACTATGGTAATATAAACAGTCGTGTTCTTTCACTTATTTTGAGAAGTATACCTCACGAGAGTTTCAAATTATGTTAATGCATTATACCAATTATAGTCGAATGTTTGCTCATGATGTCAATCACTGGATCTTCTTGTCCAGACTCGATTATTTACAGACCGCCGCCATATAGCTGTAATACTGCTGAGTGCAGCGTAAACAAACAAACACAAGCAACGTTTTAGGACTCCCTAATCGAAATATTTAAATATATTTGCTATGTGACATTGTTTTTACCTAGAATCGTGTCATTACAGTATTCAAAATTTACCATTTCCTCAATCTTTTAGAAAACGGTTCCTTCCTGTTCGTGTCGGTGATGACGGTTTTGCTGTGACTGGTGGTGATCTCTCCTCTGTGTTCACCCCATGCCTCCCTCCCCCTTTCTCCACGCCCTCTGTCTCACACGTGTCTTACCTAGTTTACCAGACATGCAGTACTGTGTATTTGTATATATGAGACGACTGGTTACCGTTGGGTTGTTCCTGTTGCTACGAATGTGTTTGACAATTAAACTATTTGAGATATCGCCGTCGTCTGTTATTTCTCAAGTGGACCCTCCTTGGTTTAGTGGTAGAGCGTCCGCCCGGAGAGCGGAAGGTCCGGGTTCGATCCCCTGCCGCATCATACCAAAAGACGTTAAAATGTGGTACTTGTTGTTGCCCTGCCTAGCCCTCGGCATTAAGGGGCTAAAACAAGGACTAGTCGACTCGGAGTCGGTATGCTGTGTCTGAGCGGGATATTCGTGTTAAACTGCGGCATGGTATCTCAGTGATAATCGGCATTAGTCCGGACTAATACAAGCAGCCACACACATACGTGCATGCAGGTCGCTTTTTAAGTGCAATAATCTTGTACGCGATGCACCTCGCCTATTTCTGAAGTGGAACCTTTTCCTTCAATATTGCGTCCTGTTTTCCAGATTGCCCGTAAAGATCCGGGTTAAAACTGGTCTTCAGCAAACCCATGCTTGTCTCCCCTTGTGAAGATCCGGGTTAGAACTGGTCTTCAGGAACCCATGCTTGACTCCCCTTGTGAAGATCCGGGTTAGAACTGGTCTGGTTGGATTGTCTGCTCCAGACTCGATTATTTACAGACCGCCGTCATAGAGCTGGAATATTAGGGTGCGGCGCTAAACAACAAACAAAAATGTGCCGATACCGAGAAAGGCACCTCACTCATAGAAGTGACGTCTAACGTTTTAGGGTCCTCAAATTGAAACATGAAGATTTAAGTCAGTTCATATTTGTATTCCCCGTGTGTGTTATGTATGGTAAACTACCCTCTTCGCACCGATCTGTTAACGAGCAGCAACAACAAAGACCCCCGTTTTACGTATTCAGTTGGGATTCTCCTATATTCTTAAACCTGATCCGACAGTCGATGTGGTTTCTTATGACCGTAAGACGCCTCCCGAACCCGTGAGTCACTGCTTGCTATGAATCACGTCGATCCACGTCCCCTCCCCTAACACCTAAAACAGAGTACTCGTTGTATCACGCCGCAGTCGCCGATGTTGGTTTGCTGTTTTACGCCGCACTCAGCAACATTACAGCTATATGACGGCGGTCTGTAAATAATCGACTCTGGACCAGACAATCCAGTGATTGATATCATGAGCATCGATCCACGCAATTGGGATAGATGACATGCTTCAACCAAGTCAGCGAGCCTGACCACCCGATCCCGTTAGTCGCCTCTTACGACAAGCATAGTCGCCTTTTACGGCAAGAATGGGTTGCTGAAGACCAAATCTACCTCGAATCACGGGTCAGTCGCCGATGTTCGTCCCAAGCTTCATCAACACTGCGACCGAGACGTTGAGGGCGTGATCAGTGACACGCAATCAGCAAAGTCAAAACAGCCACCCAATCCTCATTAGAGTCCTCGTCTCGCCCTGAATCCCAACGTGGATAATACATACGGTGAACAAATTTAGTAGAAGCGTTGATATGGATCAGTGTCAATTTAGATTGTTCTGCAATGGCCCGATCATATTTCTAAATAGGTATCTATGTACCTTCAATACCCACATGGGAGCACGGAGGGCCCAGTTGTCTTAGGCGCTGCGATTCGCTTTGCAGAGTCCTTTATGTGTTCGAATCCCGGTTCGCCCCAACTTTGTTTCTAGGTCTGTCAGCACCATACCCGTGCTCGTCTCCCACCTCAAGACCGCCTCCGTGGTCTAGTGGTAGAGCGTCCGCCCGGAGAGCGTGAAGATCCGGGGTTCGATCCCCGACCGCGTCATACCAAAAGACATTAAAAGGTGGTACTTGTTGTTATCCTGTCTGGCGCTCGGCATTAAGGGGCTAAAACAAGGACTGGTCGGCTCGGTGTCAGTATACTGTGTCTGAGTGGGGTATTCATGTTAAACTGCGGCATGGTATCTCAGTGAGCTAGCACTATAAATTGGCATCAGCCCGGACTAGTACAAGCAGCCACACACACACACACGTACATGCACGTCGCTATACAAGTGCAATAATCTTGGACGCGACGTTAAACCCCATTTCATCTCACCTCACCTCACCTCCCACCTCAAGCTGGCACGCCGTGATATAACTGAATACTGTTCAAAGCGGCGTTAAAACCAACTTACTCAATTCCAATAAACACAGAGACCTGGCGGTGCTTGTTTTCAAGTTCCCATCCTCGCAAAATGTTTTCACAAGAACAATTAAGCATTGTCTTATTTTCAGCTGAAATGTGTACCTGACCCTATTTTATCAAGTTTATGGAGAACGATCGATGCGCTCTTCAAGGCTAAGGCGCAGGTAAGAAATTGACGCCAGTCTAATTATTGACTCATTGAAGATATATACTACTCAAAAGAAGTGGAAGAACATCCGATTTTTCACATGACCATAGTTAATCTGCCATAGCCATATATGAAACTGGGTGTTCTTTAATTTCTTTTGAGTAGTATATGTCGTGCTAAATATATATGTTTCCAGTAGAGGGGGAATGTCCGAGTAACTCTCCATTCCTTAAAAATAATGGAGCAGAGGCCCCGCAGGAATGGGGGGGGGGGGGGGGGGGGGGGGGTATGAGGATATTCCCCTACTTAAAACACATCTTTACTCTTTCACTTTGACAAAACATTCTGAAGAGCCACAAAACATGCAGTGTAAAGATCAGCTCGTGACGGAGCACGTGCAGAGAACACAATCAACTCGCCATTCCCTAAAAATAATGGAGCGCTCAAACAATAGAATGACGTCACAGATGTGTTTTAACCATGGTTGAGGACCCGTGAGGATCCGGGCTCGAACAGGTCTTCAGCAACCCATGCTTGCCGTAGAGGGCGACCATGCTTGTCGTTAGAGGCGACTAACGGGATCGGGTGGTCAGGCCCGCTGAATGGGTTGATGCATGTCAATGTATCCCAATTGCGTGGATCGATGATCATGATGTCAATCACGGGATTGTCTGGTCCAGACTCGATTATTTACAGACCGCCGTCACATAGCTGTAATATTGCTGAGTGCGGCGTTAAACAACAAATAAACAGAAGAAAGCCCCTCAAACACTTTTTGAGTTCCTCTTCTGTTAGCATTTGGTCGGAGTGAAAACAGTTCTTTGTTCCGCTCTACTGTTTGTCCATTAGTAAACATAACCGACTAAGTCTTTAGCGTGTCGTTCGTGCAGACCGTTCATATAAACGTATGTAGATAGAGTGTGTACGACACTATCAATATAGGCTAGGGTGTAGTGCTGTATTAACTAACGTCGTACTCTGAATACCGGGATTATCAAGTCACGACATCATGCGCTGCTATCAATGCGAGGGAAAGGAACCGGGGGAAATGTTTGTGTAGTTGTCAGGGGTGAAATATGGACAGGAATGTGAAGCCGTATAGATCTGGACACTGAAAGTCAATCATTGGCATGGAGGTTTGACACACAATTGTGATATCCAGGTACAGCATGGCGCGCCATTGTCTGACAGCTTTTGAATACGGCGTAATTTTAATGGAGGTTTCAGGGCAATTAACCTGGAATATCGCGCACCGGTAACTCACACAGCTCAACGGTGATACGGGGTTCTGATTGTCTGATTGACCAGAGTCGCTCTTACCCAGGGAACAGGGCAGATCTTTGGGTGAGGGATCATGACGAACGTAGCTTCCCAGGTGTGGCTTGGCGCCTCGCTGGTGCTCATCGCAGTTGTAACACTAGTTGTCAACATAATAGTCTTAGTTGTGTGGATCAAATCTCCGAAACTCCGAGATCCCAAGTACTATTTCTGGATTAACCTTGTTGTGGTGGATCTGATCGGAGTGTGTATGTGGACGTCGTTGTCCGTCACGGCCGTTGTCGGTGATGCTTGGATCCTACCAGACGTCGTCTGTAACGTCCATGCGTACTTCTCCACCTTCTGCAACACAATAAACCTCCACACACTCACCATCCTAGCCTTAGAGAGGTTTCTCAAGTTCTTCAAACCCTCCAAACATGAAGACATATGTATCGGTTTTTTCCTAACCCTTCTCATTTGCGGAGTGTGGTTCTTTGACGGTGTCGTCTGCGTGTTCACGGCCGTTCATTGGGCGCAGGTGAGATACTACCCAGACCAGTACCAGTGCATCCCGGAGCACCAGCTCAGCACCTCGCACATGAACTTCATGTTCATTCTGTCCTATGGAATTCCTCTTGTTGTAATGATCGGCTGTTACTCCGCCTGTTTTATAAAGGTGTTCCACATGCGGAGTCGTGTGCAACCAACGGGAGCTCTGGTGTTGGAGACAAACAAGAGCGCCAAGGGAGACTCGTACTCGGAGAGGATGAAGCGATACAGCGAAAAGTTTCAGAACGCAGGGATGAAGAACAAGAAACCCAAGTTGGAGAAGACGTACGACTACACTAAAGATGGCTACGTCGTGACGTCGGATACCGAGGACGACGTACAACAGAGAGATACCAAAACGAAGTTCAAGAAAAAGGAGTACTCGTTGGCTAAAGAAGACTATATGCTGCTCAAGGTCTACGTCATCACTTCTTGTGCTTACGTAGGCACATGGATACCTTACGTCATCAGCAGCTATGTGTGGACGTACTCCCGGTTCAGCCCTCTGCCGGCTGGTGTGATTACCTCCCTTGTGTGGCTGTGTCATTGTGGAGCAGGCATCAAGCCACTTGTATATGGGCTGTGTTTTGGGAAGTTCAGGGAACGCCTCCTGGCTGTGCTGAGAAGGCAGGAGCCATGAACAGACAGATATACGCGTTTGGGGCACTGATAATCAAACATACCTTTGACGGAATGCATTTATAAAACGTTTGGTCACTGAGTCTGGTGACGCGTATGTTCCTTTACTTAAGTAATGGTTCCGTGGTTTTACACTGTCGCCATGTTTTATTTGCCTACAGCTGTTATGACCGGGGGTTTGTAGACGCCCTGCTTTACGACTCCGTGTGTAATGTTTGTTTGTTTGTTTGTTTGTTTGTACAGTAAACCGATCCACATTTAAAAACGGCTCCCACGACCCGCACAGGGACACGGTCAAATATACTCATTACAATGATGTTTGTTTGTTTGTTGTTTAACTCCGCACTCAGCAATATTCCAGCTATGTGATGGCGGTCTGTAAATAATCGAGTCTGGACCAGACAATACGGTGATTGAAATCATGAGTATCGATCCACGCATTTGGGATACGATGACATGCATCAACCAAGTCAGCGAGCCTGACCACGCGATCTCAGTACGTAATGTAGAAGAATAGCACGATTTTCCCTTTCCCTAATCGGTTGCTTAGAGAACTTACTATGTCAGTCATGTCTTTTAAGAAAACATAGGATTACATATTTTTTCTAGTTTAAACCTTATTAAAGTATTTTAAGATTTCAGTAGAACATATACAGTATCATATGCAGCCTTACATTTTACGTTCACATTTTAGGTATGGTATACATTTGTAACTTAATTTTGTTTTGCGGGTTTTCACATTTACTACCTGATTTTTCTGATCGACTTCCTTCAGAATTATGTTTGAATAAATGTACGACGAGCATCCTTTAAAAAAGGATACATTTACTGTTTTACAATAACTGTTGATGAGCATCCATTACTTGATATTAATCCACGTGATGTCTATTTGATGGACATATTATAAAGCCACGTGAAATCTCTCTGATGGACGTATTTTAAAGCAACGTGGTGTTTCTTTGATGAACATATTTTAAAGCAAAGGTGGTGTTTCTTTGATTGACATATTATAAAGCCACGTGATGTCTGTTTGATGGACATATTATAAAGCCACGAGATGTCTCTTTGATGGACGTTTTAAAGCAACGTCGTGTCTCTTTGATGAGCAACGTAACGTTTAACGGCACGTAATGCCCAGGCTGTGAAAGATCGGGGGTTCGATCCCCGGCCGCGTCATGCCCAAACACGTTGAATATGGTACTTGTTGTTACACTGCCTGAAGCTCGGCATTAAAGGGAGAAAACAAGGACTGGTCTGCTCGGAGTCAGTATACTGTGTCTTAGTGCAGTGTCCATGTTAAACTGCGGCATGGTGTCTCACTGGGCTGGCACTATAAAACCGACATTAGTCCAGACTAGAGCAACCACGGACTCCTACACACAGCGATATAAGCCCAGTAATCTTGAACACGAAGTTACACCCCATTTCACCTCACCTCGTTTAAGCCATGTGAGGGGCGGTCGGGTAGCCTAGTGGTTAAAGCGTTCGCTCTTTACGCCGAAGACCCGGGTTCGATTCCCGACATGGGTACAATGTGTGAAGCCCATTTCTGGTGTCCCCCGCCGTGATATTGCTGGAATATTGCTAAAAGCGGCGTAAAACAATACTCACTCACTCACTAAGCCATGTGACGTATCTCTACAGGACATTTATTAAACTAACCCGATAATCTTTGTTTCATTGGCATCAACTGACACAATGTTGGTTGGATTTAAATATTAATTATGTTTCATAATTAATTTCATTATTTTGTAAGCCTTATTTTGCGGCTGAATATATGTTATTCCATGAAGCGAGTGAGTATGGTTTCAACCCGATTTTAGCAAACATTCAGCAATATCACGGCGAGGGCACCAGAAATAGGCTTCACACATTATACCCATGTGAGGAATCGAACCCGGGTCTTCGGCGTAAAGAGCGAACGCTTTAACCACTAGGCTACCCGACCGCCCCTTATGGCAGGTTTGGGTCATTTATTACAAGACAGGTACAGTAAATGTATGTGTGATGAACACGGAAAGAGAGATACTTTATAGTGAGTGAGTTTGGTTTTACGCCGCTTTTAGCAATATTCCAGCAATATCACGGCGGGGGAATGCCAGAAATAGGGTTCACACGTTGTACCCATGTGGACAATCAAACCCGGGTCTTCGGCATGACGGGGGCGGGTGGGTGGCCTAGTGGTTAAAGCGTTGGCTCGTCACGCCGAAGACCCGGGTTCGATTCGGTGTCCCCCGCCGTGATGTTGCTAGAGTGAGTGAGTGAGTGAGTTGGGTTTAACGCCGCTTTTAAAGGTATTCCAGTTATATCGCGGCGTGTCAGCTTAATGTGGGAGGAAAGCCCGAAGTGATGCAGGTCTCAGACGTTTACCACTTCGGTGAAACCCACGAGCACGGGTATGGTGCTGACAAACCTAGAAACATAATCGGGGCGAACTGGGATTCGAACCCACAATCATAGGTTTCTGGCGTGCCCAAGGGACGCAACTCTGCACAGCGAATCGCGGCGCCTTAAACGACTGGGCCACCCGTGCCCCCGATATTGCTAGAACATTACTAAAAGCGGCGTAAAACCATACTCACTCACTCACTTCTGCGTGACGAGCGAACGCTTTAACCACTTGGCTACCCCACTGCCCCGACATGATATATAATTATGACATTCTGGTATAATATCTTGTGTATGTCCATGCGTATTACATGGTTCGTGAGCAACCGACGTCAAGGACATTTGAGTCAGGTGGTTATGACTCAAGTTGACGTTTATTCCCATTCAGAAGGGTTATTTAAATTGACTTAAACACCACGTGACCTACCGTAAGTGTATTAAGACACCATCTGACGTCATGCGTGCCACTCACGGTGACAGACTCCCCCCGCCGCACCTCCCCTCCCCCTATTGTAACTGCTTGCATGATATACGACAGTCAGACATTAAACACTGTTTGTGTAAAGCATATCAAATTATATGTACCCTTATTTATAGCTTTATGGTCATTTCAAAATGCTGCTGCCAGTGAATCGGATAAAATGACATAGAATTATACATTTCGGCGACCATAATCGCCGGGTGTTTATCCATCATCACAACATATATTTAATATGTGACATGTACAAATTGTAGGCTCACCACGCCTCCTTATAACTGGTGTTTTGTTTCAGATGTAAATACATGTTTAGTTTTATATGTCCGGGAATTCTGGGATAAAACGGGGCCCTAGTGCCTAAATCTACGGAAGTCTTTTAGGGTCATTTTGTTTTTTTGTTTTTCTTCAGTTAGTATCTTGAAATTTCAAGATGTTATGTTCTGAACATGTGCATTTTCACCCACCAAGACAGTTTCATTATATAACGTTGTTTCATATAGTTTTGAAAAATAAGCCCACGTTCTTGCAATTACCGAAATACTAACAGGCTCCGAATAAAGTTGTACTTTCCTCACCCTTCACCAATATAATGTGACGTTTGCTTGGGTTTTCCCCTTGCAATATCTCTTACACATATTTTTACGGGTTTTTAAATCGCATTTTGTGTAGTATACTTGGAAAGCTGTAATAAACCCCAATTATTTGGATAGAATGAAAAATCCCGACAACAAGATGCAAAACAGATCCAAATTCAAAACAGAGCAATAGATCCAAGGGAAATAACTCTGTTGATACTTGTCTCTGATTTGGTTGTTCAGCATTAGTTTAGTGGTAAACTGCTCTACCAATCAACCCGTCTTCTCGTCGCCACCAACCACAGAAAAAATGATTAAACAACTATCCAGTTACAATCATAATGCATGAAATAATAACTGCTTCTTTGCTGTCTTATATTCCAGTAACTTCATAAAATTAAATTTATCGCCCTGAACAACTCCGACGACTGCTATAATTACTGATATATTACAAGCGATCGATGACCTTTTACGTGCTCTGTGATATATTTACTGTGATCAAGAGCTGTTATATGTGATGCCGATATATGATCGACGATGTGTTATATGTAATAAAAAATATGCGAATTTTCCCAATAAAAACATTATCCAATAATAATAATAATAATAATAATAAACCACGTTTCTTATGATATTATGGCATCCGTGTATACACACCCGGAAGCACACTGCTGTATCAAAATATTATCTCAGATGCAACATAGAGGACCTTCGCCGGTTTTCTATAAATATAAATAAGGAATAATGCGGTAATATTGAAACATGTCCTGTTTGTCTAGACAGAAGGAGGAAGTCTTTGCGCACGCATGAACAACAGTGTACTTGTCACCGTGATGTAAGGAGTCACATTCTCCTTGAAAGTTGCTATACACATATACACACATGCTTCAGTCCGGTTTACACACAAACACATTAAACTCACATTTGACACCATCACCGGGAGAATCTGGGTGAGAACAGATCCCCTGCAATTTATGCTAGTTGTTTTGTATTTGTTTGTTTTTCAACGTCGCACTCAGCAACATTCTTACTATATGACGGCGGTCTGTAAATAATCGAGTCTGGACCAGACAATCCAGTGATTGACATCATGAGCATCGATCCACGCAATTGGGATCGATGACATGCATGAACCAAGTCAGCGAGCCTGACCACCCAATCCCGTTGGTCGCCTCTTACGACAAGCATAGTCGCCTTTTACGGCAAGCATGGGTTGCTGAAGACCTCCACGGGTTCGTTCTTGTCAAAAGAAGCAGGCAGATGGATCGGGTGGTCCGGTTTGGTGACATGGGTGTTTGCGGCCTCATGCGCCTATACCAGAACTAAAAAGAAATCTTTATTAATTATGTGTAGAAAAGTATGACATACATATTGTTTGATCCTATATGTGTGCACCTAAAAAAATGCAAATGTACTTAAATGTCGGCCAGTCAGACTGATACAATGAGACTGTTACGTGATCACATCTACAAGATCCATAAAAATCAATGTGACAGTGGCAGCCAAGTTATGAGTGTACCGTACATCTCCTAGTCACGGAGCTCTGCAGGCAGCTGCACGGGAAATTGGTAGGAATGCAACAGCAGCAGCAGCAGTAGAAGCACTAGTAATAGTAATAGCAGTAGTGGTAGCAGTAGTAGTGGTAGTAGTAGTAGAAGCAGCAGCAGCAGCAGTAGTAGTAGCAATAGTAGTAGTAACAGCCGCAGCAGTATAGTAGCAGTAGTAATAGTAGTAGAAGTAGTTGCAGCTGCAGTAGTAGTAGTTGCAGCAGCAGTAGTAGCAGCAGCCGCAGCAGCAGTAGTAGCAATAGTAGTTGTAGTAGAAGTAGTAGCACCAGCAGCTGCAGTAGTAGTAGTTGCAGCAGCAGTATTAGCAGCAGCAGTAGTAGTACTAGCAGTAGTAGCAGCAACAGTGGTAGTAGCAATAGTAGTAGTAGCAGTAGTAGTAGTAACAGCAGCAGCAACAGCAGTTATAGTAGCAGTAGTAGTAGTAGTAACAGCAGCAGCAACAGCAGTATTAGTACAAGTAGTAGTAGTAGTAGTAGTAGTAGTAGTAACAGCGGCAGCAGCGACATTAGTGGTTGTCAACATAACTGTAGGTATTTCTTTCTGTGTGGATATGGAATTGTATGTAGTATAATGTACATTCCTACCCATATAGACATGTAATATCAAATATGATCGGCTGTGCACTTATAATGCATATTACATTGCGACTGGTGTGTCCGGCTTCCTCGGCCCTTCACCCCGTGGGAACGTCGGGTTGGAATGGGTCCAGAGTATTCTATGGCTCGCCGTCAAAGACGATTACATGTATCGGCCAGGCTCGGTGACCTGGTTGATTGGTGTCAGAGTAACCCGAGAAATATTAGCTCGTTATATCAATAATTGGTTTGTCTGGTCCAGGCTCGAATATTTATCAAGATGGAATGTTGACGAGTGCGGCGTTAAACAACATCCAACAGACTTTGTGAACACACCTTAATATAGTTAATAACCTCTATAAGTTAATATAGAGGACATTACATAGAGTAATCCTGGCTTAACTAGGGACTGTATTGGTGATCAGCCAAAAGGATCACATTGCCGTGCATGTAACTTATTGGTCGTGACACCTCAGTCAACAAGTTCATCGATGTAATACAACGAAAGGAAGTTGTAGCAAGTGGGTTTTGAGGAAGATTGATTTAAAGATATCACCTGGCTGTGTCATACAACTTTGTCACAGAAGTGTAGCTAGCAGACGACACCAGGAAATCGATATCGAGGCTGTCAGATTGCCGCGCCTGGAAAAGGTACGGACAAACTTGTAGAGAGCTGAGATGCATTTGTGTTGTCCGCAGAGAAAGCTGGTATAGCCATTACACCCATAAGAAGAGAGAGTGTTTACAACTCGCCAGTGGCGTCAGTGCGGCTTTAAAGTGGGACCGTATACATCCACTACAGCCGTGACGGATGGCCCAAACTACACTAGGTAGTTCGCACAGTCGACATTCCTTTCTCCGAGGTGAGAGGCTATCGTCTGCTACCTTCACGAGCAGACGACACGAGAGCACCACCGGAAACGTCGAGGGATAGGGAAGTTTGTGTGTTCTGTGTTAGAAGGATGTGCCTGTTTGCCACTTTGCTGCTCGAGATCAAGTATGCATGACATCTGTTTTACGCTATCCTAGAATACCTAGACCTAATTGTTTCATCCAAAGAAGCCGGACTTAATTGATAGTGTTTCGAGGGACTCATAAGCAGCGGTATGGTTTCCCGAGGCGTGCTGTCAAACTGCTACAGGTAGGAAACGACGTTGCTGATGGTGCTAGGCTAATACACAACCACGCTATGGATGGTTAGATATTTATGTCATATTAACAACGCATGGTCCCCAATCCATGTCCAGGATTATCTATTAATGACAAGTTCCAAAAGGAAGATATCTTTTCCCCCGGACTCTGTCCTGACAGCTATTATCCAGGATGGTGATATTGCCGAACTGACACGGATACTGCAGGCATCGTCGCCCTGCGTGGACGTCAACACCGGCAGCCACACCGGACTGACTGCCCTCCACCACGGTGTCCTCAGCAACAACCTGGATGCTGTGAAACTTCTTCTCACACACGGAGCTCGCGTTAATACTCAGGATATTCATGGGTTTACTCCGCTCCATACGGCCTCTGCTTGTGGATTTCTTCAAGTGGCCAGTATGTTGCTTCTATACGGAGCAGACGTGTTTGCTCTCACTCGACAATCAGAACTGCCCATAGATCTCGCCAAGGATATAGGTGTCGTCCGGTTGATATCAGAGGAGATGACACGTCAAATACACGCCGAGTTGTTTGTGCCGTCTATTGTAATAGCAAAATTCTGGGAGTTGTGTGTCCTTTGCCAAAAGATTATCATTTTGCTATTGACGCTGTGTTCTCAGAAGCTGAAAGAAGTTTGGCATCGTTACAGACGAAAACAGGATTGATGAAGGTGGAGTCTAGATATATATTGATGCCCATCAGTGATTCTGATAACTGTGAGGTATGCATGTGTTTACTTGTGTTTGATTGAAGGGTGTAGCACAATATTTAAATCTATTATATATGTACACTAGTTCAACTTTGTTAGTATATGCCCGAGTAACTAGAACATGAGTCAGACTCGGTTAAAATAAACTTTAATATTCAAGTTGCTGTATTTACCTAGCGTGTCCTATCCTACACCCGAACGCTCACCCAGTGTATTCGCCGATAGCTTCTACAACGGTTAACCATTGAAGCTTTTATTGGGCCCGGTTGTCGTCAGTGCGTGTGATATGATATAACTGTGAATAAGGCCTCGTCGATCCATCTGGTATTCAGTGATTCCCTCCCACTGTACAATCTATCGATCTTCAATAAAAACGCAAAGTGCAGAATGTGCAAAAACTCAACCCCATTTTGTTTTTTACCGATGTTCACGGTTTGTGTGTACATATAACGCATGTGAAGGGAGAAATGCACATATGCAGTATTGATGTGAGCAGGACATTGATCGATCTGTCTAAGTGTTTCTGGTGTCAGGTTCATATCTAGATCTGTACGTAAGCTGAGTCTGTCCAACACGAGTGGAAACACAGCTAAAGAAAACGTTTTGAAACATGGCGTTTCGACGAGGAAGTGGGAACCTTCTATTAGACAATATAAAAACCTCCAGTTTTACTTCTGACGAACAATGTTTTAACTTAAGCAGGGTTCAACTTAATTAGAGCGCAGGTCGTTAATCCTTAAAACATGGCTCTTCAGTTCACAGCAACATGGGTGCCCAAGCGTATGTTTCTGACACTGGGCCCATCCCTTTGTTTATTGTTTAACGCCGCACTCAGCAATATTTCAGCTATATGACGGCTGTCTGTAAATAATCTAGTGTAGATCAGACCATCCAGTGATTGACATCATGAGCATCAGTCTACCCAATTGGGATACGATGACATGCATCAGCCAAGAATATGAGCCTGACGATCCGATCCCGTTGGTTGGTGAAGGCCAGTTCTAACCAGGGTCTTCACGGGTCCGTCACTTAAATGACAGTGGCTCAGTTGAGCAAATGTATTGAAGTCAAATGGAATCTTTACTTAGGTGTTTATCTTTCTAGTTATAAGAAATCGACACAACATTGATTTTTTGTTTTTATCGATAATGCTTATACGCCTTCTTCACAACCTGATGCGTCTGTGACGTCACGTAGCCAAATACCGCTCTGTTCCCTGGGCTAATCGCCAACGATTGTTTTAATGACATTCGTGACATGTGACTCTGGTTCGTGCTTGATGTTTTCGCTTATTCAGCGCCATTGCAGCAGTATTACGACAGAACACGGCTAACAGACTGCACCCGTGTACAAGTCGAACTCGAGTGTTGAGCGGGAAGAGCGAACTCTTAAAGGGCAAATAAAGTTAACATAGCAACTTTGTAGATTTCGTTATGCCCTAGTATAAGCTATATCCGAATTCGTTATGCTCTAGTGTACGCTATATCCGAATTCGTTACGTCCTAGAGTACGCTATATCCGAATTCGTTATGCTCTAGTGTACGCTATATCCGAGTGAGTTATGCCCTAGTATACGCTGTATCCGAGTGAGGCATGCCCTAATGTACGCTATATCCTAATTCGTTATGCCCTAATGTACGCTATATCCGAATTCGTTATGCTCTAGTGTACGCTATATCCGAGTGAGTTATGCCCTAGTATACGCTGTATCCGAGTGAGGCATGCCCTAATGTACGCAATATCTGAATTCGTTTTGCCCTAATGTACGTTATATCCGAATTCGCTATGCCCCAATGTACGCTATATCCGAATTCGTTATGCCCTAGTGTACGCTATATCCAATTTCGTTATGCCCTAGTGTACGCTATATCCGAATTCGTTATGCCCTAGTGTACGCTATATCACGGATCTCCAGAAGACGATGCCCCTTGACAGGATATACAAGGAGGAGGATTTTGAATGACGTTTATGACATTATTTACTCAATCTGTTCTGTAATAAACATCACGAGGGCACAGAAGTACGGCTCCTTTACCTGACGTACATGAAGCACCTGGATCACTCAGTATCAGTGATAGATGTGTGTACCTTACAGCTTGGACGTTAATGGGTGCTGGCGCGCATGTGCGAGGACAAGAGCGATGGGGACGAGGGAGGGATGGGGACGGGGGACGGGGGACGGGGAGGGGGGTCTATGATGATCTATTGTTGTGGGTTCTGCATAACGGAACTGAGCACAGTGAGTGAGTGAGGATGGTTTTACGCCGCTTTTAGCAATATTCCAGCAACATCACGGCGGGGGACACCAGAAATGGGCTTCACACATTGTACCCATGTCGGGAATCGAACCCGGGTCTTCGGCGTGACGAGCGAACGCTTTAACCACTAGGCTACCCGACCGCCCCTAACTGAGCACAGACATCCCTCTATTGTGATCAGTCACGGAATTACGTTAAACGTGGAGATGTGCCGCAACGCGTCCGAGAAGAAGACAAATAATGCCTGTGAAGACCTTCTTATGTAGATAAGTGATGCTATGGCTTACCTTAATCACACCCTATACCTTTCAAACAGATTTCTGAACTTGTTAAGGGACGCTTAAATATTTTTTCAAATGTAAATGTCCGCAGAATGCGAACCCTATCCTCGTCGGAACATTAAAAGCATGCCGGACCCCCTCCATCAACCGCCAGACCCCCGTGTGTGACCCCCGTCACCCCTTCGAGATAGATGTGCGTTGCTGACACACTTGCACTTGCACTACTTCCAGCCTCGCAACAACCTGCATACTTGATGTGAGCCTTGGAATAACTTATCTGTTTGTGTACTCTCACGCAGACCTCGACAACTAATCGTCCACCACTGACTTGCAAAGCTTTCTGATGAATTTCCACTCAAGTGCACTCTCAGCTGCAGGCTTACACCTTTCACAGATGATCGGACATGTTTCACATTCCATTAAATAGCCCCCACGCGTTACTTAATTGGTCCATTACAGAGCCAATATCACGCCTGGACTGAGCCCGACAACGAAAGGAACTGTACATAGAACTTACTTTCATGTGTACAGTTTAGTTTATTGCGAGAAAGAGTGAGCGAGTCATTGTATCCACTTTGTGTCCCTACAACCAGGAACGTAACGGATGCATAGCGGCTACTTATAAACATAATCGGGTCCAGACCAGGGACCCGTTCCACAAAGCGATCTTAGCGCTACGACTGTCGTAAGGCAGTGTTAAAGAATGGGAGTTACGATCGACTTAGCGCTAAGATCGCTTTGTGGAACGGGGGCCAGAACAACCACCGACTGAGAGCATGAACAATCTTCAACGATTTCACCCAAGATGACACAATCGGCCAGGTCAAAGAAGCGCATGATCTCAGCCCTAGGATAAGCAGGATGACATGGATGTTAATCTGCCTCTGAATCCTATAGAAATAAGTGTCTGCTTGCTATAACTTATGACGAGAGAAGGTGGTAAATATTTTTCTTGGACAAAATCCAGTTCCAATGTTGAAGAAAATGTTATTTCCCAAACTAGTTTGTTTCTCAAGGTCGTGATAGGTTCCTTGTGTTAAATGCAGCTCAGAACTGGTGAAGTATCTACCAGATGGGATTCATATTTATAGATTTATACCCGTGAGAAAACAATCCTTGTTGGGAGCTCTGTTAATTTGGGGGTTTTTTAACGCCGCAATATTCCAACCATACGACGTCGCCCTGTAAACAATCCAGGGGACGATATTGAGAGTAACAATCGACGCCGTCGGGGTGCGCGGACACGGCAACAACCACGTCAGCGAGCCTGACCACCCGATCCTCTTGGTTGCATATGAATGCCGGCATTTGTGGCGGGGGATCTTTTCTACCCAGGGATCCCCACGGAGGTGCTTGTTAATGAGCATGTTTGGACCACAAGGAATTGATCACCCTGTAGGATTCTCGGCCTCCATTTCCTTACCATGAATATGTTTGGGACTATTCTGAGAAAATAATATATTTCAAATATCATCAATGCCTTTATGTGGTAGTGAAAAGCTACTGTGTCAACTCAGGTAGGAATGATTAATTGATTTTGAATACTGCTCAGCTTAAGGATTGTAGGAATAACTAACGTTCGAGCAATGTCAATTATTCAGTTGATGTGACAGTTAAATCTCCCATTCATACAGAGGACATGGTATGATAATCCCCTTCATTGCCCACTACATATGAGGACATGGTATGACAAGGCCCTTCATCGCCCACTACATATGAGGACATGGTATGACAAGGCCCTTCATTGCCTACCAGATATAAGGACATGGTATGACAAGGCCCTTCATCGCCCACTACATATGAGGACATGGTATGATAATACCCTTCATCGCCCACCAGATATAAGGACATGGTATGACAAGGCCCTTCATCGCCCACTACATATGAGGACATGGTATGACAAGGCCCTTCATCGCCCATCAGATATAAGGACATGGTATGACAAGGCCCTTCATTGCCAACTAGATATAAGGACATGGTATGACAAGGCCCTTCATTGCCCACCAGATATAAGGACATGGTATGACAAGGCCCTTCATTGCCCACCAGATATAAGGACATGGTATGACAAGGCCCTTCATTGTCCACTAGATATAAAACCATGGTATGACAAGGCCCTTCATTGCCTACCAGATATAAGGACATGGTATGACAAGGCCCTTCATCGCCCACTACATATGAGGACATGGTATGATAATACCCTTCATCGCCCACCAGATATAAGGACATGGTATGACAAGGCCCTTCATCGCCCACTACATATGAGGACATGGTATGACAAGGCCCTTCATCGCCCACCAGATATAAGGACATGGTATGACAAGGCCCTTCATTGCCAACTAGATATAAGGACATGGTATGACAAGGCCCTTCATTGCCCACCAGATATAAGGACATGGTATGACAAGGCCCTTCAT